CATTACTATCGAAACGCTACTACTTCGAGCAACACTCTAACCATAACCATAACTCATGCGATAACGTCTGCCAGCGAAATGGTCAGACTTCTTTACGAAAACTTTGAACGAAGTGAACTTCACGCCTACTACGTCCTCTAGCGGGGACGATCCAGTGGACCTGGCTCCTCATATGGGCGAACGGAGACCTGGCGCTCTCTCGAGAAAATCGACCATCAAGGGGCAACAAGTGATACAGGAGAAGCCCTAATCCATTGTTAGCTATGAATGTCTTTTGTCGTAACGATGCATCATTCAGCGCACAACTATTAACTTCCGTGACCGGGGGATGGTGAAGGCTGCCGCCACTGGAACATTAGTCATAGAGACTACCGGCAAGGCCGTTTTCTTTCCATGCAAATGCAATCTTTTACGGGATCAGTGAATAGCCGACACTGTTTTTGCCGAGGCCATTCAATATCGAGTTGTAGTTTGGACCGAGGAGATCAGTTCAGTGGCTACAAAACAAAGGTACTGGAAATACTGTACTGTTACTGAAATATTTGACGGACCATAGGTTTCACTTAGAAACACGCAGGATATGCAGAGGGGCCAAACTGATAACCCTTTCACCCATATATCCCGTAGATAAGATTCCACCTCGTTCACCCGGACCTTGGTTTCGCCCGGACGGAATCATAGTCGTTTGGGAGGACAGAAACAACGAGTGGTACATTGACTGACCCCACCAACAGCTGATATAGCTTTCGTGACCGTATGCAAATATGTAGCTGATCAACAGTGTTTTATGTAGACTTTTCCTGCAAAATTACGGTAACTCGGACGTAATTTAGGATCAGTTTATAAAGTAATCTGTTGATTGAATATCGACCCATTCGGGATCCGGAAATCGTAACGGTTCACGTCTTGATAGGATCTGTTGATCGGAAGGAGCCGATAATACACAGGACAAAGATGGGAATTTCAGGTAATAAACAGATAAACAATCATAAAAAGAAACCTCGTTCATCTTCCATAGAAAGCTGTGCGCCTTTTACGGTCAGAAAATTCAAAGCTTCGATATGGCCGGCTCCGGCAGCTACATGAGCAGCGGTTTCTTTTTGCTGAAACATATACAAGTTAGTCAAATCGAATGGCTACAGATGAACCAACCCCGTTATCGATTTGTTGATTCCAGAAATTCGATTTAGAGTACATTGCGACTCATTCAATCTCTGCACCCACCTTATTCCGGAGATTGGGGAATCCCCGAGCCATGCTGAGTTCATTCAATTCACGAACACCTCCGTTTTCAGCAGCAATCAACAACGATGACGTCACCATGTCGTTCTAAAAATCCATCGATTCAAGAAAAAATTCAAAATTAGGTAAATTATGAGGAGTATTTGAAGTTAGTCGATTTCAACTTAGCCACGATTTGGAAAAAAACATGGGAACTTCAGTAACTTGTGCTATTTCATGAAAACAACAACAACAACAAC